TTTGTTCCCTATTCGGTACCCTCCCAGGCAACCACCATTGGTTTAGAGCCATTTTCTGTGGCATCCCCAGCCATTCTGTTCAATAACCATTAATAGAGCTGTCACCCGTTAATTTATGCCACTGTGCCCTTTGTGTGTTTAAACCCCTTCTGACCTTATGTCGTGTTTGATCTACAGAACACTTAGGTACATTGCTGTATTCGTTGGAAATGCATGTGAATTGTAGGCATTTAGGGGCAGGGAGCATGTCTTTGGTTTCTATATTGTATCTAGCAACTTGCCAACAACTACAAAATATCAGATTTATTTATTTTACTCTTCTTTTGTTAATTTTTAAATGTAGCGACTGTCCAACAAATCTGTGGTATTTAACTTGTGTTTGTTGTTAATAATTTTTCCGTGTTTTATTTTCAGATGACTGGATCAAATGAATTTAAATTAAACCAGCCTCCAGAAGATGGTATTTCATCGGTGAAGTTTAGTCCAAACACATCTCAGTTTCTGCTCGTTTCATCATGGGATACTTCAGTCCGACTCTATGATGTACCTGCCAACACTATGAGACTCAAATATCAACATTCAGGAGCTGTTCTTGACTGTGCTTTTTATGTAAGCATGTTGTTTTGTTTCTGTTCAATTCAGAGTATAGTACTAAAGGTACCTGGGGAGTAATTCAAAGTAATTCAGTCAAAGGAGTGGCTATTTGAAATCTACTCAATTTTTTACAAAGGGTAAACATAGTTTTAGGTACTACATTTGCCTTTAATTTCTATAATCACATTTCTAGTATAATGTTTATTTATATTATTTTACGCTGGTATAACATTTAGTTATACTATTTATTATTTTGCTAAAGATCCACATTAATATTGTAATTGACTTGAGTGAAATGGAGTGTACAGAAAGTAACCTCAGATGCCAAAGCCAGCAAGTTGTAACAGTGCTGCCACTGCCCACCCCGAGCATAGCCTGGCCCAGACCCCCCACCCAGAAGAGCCTGGTGCTGCCCCTGGCCCCAGCCCACAGCAACTTCTTCTTGCCCTGGCTACAGATCTGGGGGGCACATGCCCCCGATACCCTCCTGGGGTGCATTCAACAGTGGAAGCCTCTCCCCCTGGGCAAGCTGCAGCTCTGTCTTGCGCCCTACCCTGCCCCAACTGTGCAGCGCCAGCTCCGCTCCCTCTCTTACTGCAGGGGCCTTGATCTGCCACCCACTCCCACATGCCTTTTCCCCCTCCCCCCATCGCCCACAGCACACTTATCAACCAGATGCTGCTCTCCATGCTGCCCAGCTGCATATCGGCAACTGGATCGGTATCTGTCAATACGGCTTGTTAAAAATTGGCCATTGGTATCAGCCCAAAAAATCTCTATTGGTGCACCCTTAGTATCAAGGCTGTATGATTTGACTGGGGCAGTGCTTTTGCTATAATATTGAGGGGTATAATAAATCTAAAACTTAGCATTATTTTTGCACAAGTATCTTGTTATTTAATCATTTTAAACAATTTAATTCAGGAGTGGTCAATGTGTGGCAAGCACAAGTGGTTTGGGTAGCCTCTGTGTGGCACATGGCAGACCAGGGAGGGAACAGACAGCGCAGATGGGGATGGGGCAAAGAGCAGAAAAGCAGCAGATCGGGCTTGCAAAGGAAATTGGAGTGACTTGAGGAGGGTGCAAAGTGGATTTGTAGCGTGCCTGTTGAAAAGTTTGCCCCCACTGCTTTAAAAAATAAATCAGTTTTAACATCTGCCAATAAACTTTTCAGTTCTGATCTTCAAGAGCTACTTCAAACTGCTCTGATAGTGGAAAGCAACCATAACGCTGTCAGATCATAATGGGATCACTTATGCATGCGGCAGAGTTTCTATATTGCTTCAGTATATAGAACCTGCCTTTTTGCAGGGGATAGGATGAAGTTGAGAAAGGGGACAAATATATGGGGAGCTTCTGTGTTTCTAGTATTCCATGGGAAACAGCAATCCATAGGGATAATTCATGGTTTGGATAAGGTTACTCCAGTTTATTGGGAGATTGCATCGTTTTCCTCTCTATACCCTGTGAATTGTTGTGTCCCTCAGCCATAGTTTTAGGTCAGCGTCCTTAATTATATTATTTGTACTATAAGTGTTTAATCTTTTTGTTGTCCAAACCTTGGAAAAAATTAAATATAAAAGCCGACGATAATACGTTTGTGAAAAGTTAGTTCTGTATGGACACCTGTAGACAATAGAAGTATCATATATTCAAAGTGTATCTTTAAATTTTGTCCTGGTTCAGGAATGAATAATTTTTAAGGAAACAGTCACTTGTAGATGACAAATCTTTGATTCAGTGTGTGTTTCTTAATAAATCTTCTGGGAAAAACAAAAGTTATATAGTAGAGCATTTATGGTACTTTCATAATTGTACAGATTTGCTGTTTCTGTTTGCAGTAGTCCTTAAAATAAGTAGTTTCAGTGAACTAATATGATATAGTAATATGGAAGTAATTACATGATGGAACAGGCATTTTGACTTGCATTTTCAAAATGCAACAACTAAGGGATATTCAGGGGTACCAGAAGGTATCACATTTAAAAAAAAATACTTTCATATAATGCTCAACTAGTCTTTGAGACTCCTTGCCATAAGATTCTGTAATTTACTTAGCAGAATCGCAGAGGGATCAGGTTAAAAAAAGGCAGAGGACAGGGTTATAAACCTAGAAGCCAATTTTTAATTAATGGAGGTTGAAAAGAAACTTTCCCATGCACAACTGACAATTGTAAGTTTTCCTTGTGTCTTTTTCTGGTACTGGTCAGTTGGCCCACAGAATGCAACATTCTGTATTAACACAGATCTCGTGTAGATTCCTTTATTCCGAAATAATTGTACATCCAAAAACTAAAAATATGAACAATGGTTTCAGTGTTCATGAACAGGTCTGTTCAATTGTTCTGACTAGCCATGATTTTATTTAAGAAAAATACTTAAATATATTTTTTTGGTGTTACAGAATACAATGAAAGTTAAGTACTGCTTGGAATTTCCTACAGTAAACACAAATGTATTCTTCATTCACTTGTTGCTGCAATGTTATTGGAAGATCATCATCTTATAACACTTGAATTTCAAACTTTTTATAACGTTTCTTTGGCTCTAATCAAATTCAGCACGTGAACATTTGTCCGGCAACTCTTTGAGTTCCCAAACTGTAATTTGAACAGTCCATTAGTTTCAAACAAGTTTTGCCTGCATTATGACTGATCAATAAGAAAAATCATGAAGTTTGGTTATGTGATATATCAAACCACATTTTCTAATTTCTGTTTTCCCGTTATAAGGTTATTCCATAAGCCTCAAAGTATTTCTTCCAGTGATATCACCACTCTTTATCCTAAAATAGTCTCACCTTTTGATTCCAGATAATTTGCATAGATATGCTGATCTATTTTTAAAGGAGAAATGAATGCATACAATAAGTCAATTTCTTACTTTGCAGGATCCTACACATGCCTGGAGTGGAGGATTAGATCAGCAGTTGAAAATGCATGACTTGAACACAGATCAAGGTAGGCTGACTGAATATTGTAAGAGAGCACATTAAGTGAACAAATGAACAGCAGAATGCTTAGTTGTATTTCAGAATTATAAATGAATTAAATACAAAAACAGTAAGTGTCTATAGATATATATTTTTGTTTTGATAGGGTGAGTACAGGATAAATACAGTTTACGATTCATGAACCTTTTCATAGACACATTTAGTGTCACAGAAAAAGTTTAAGTGAGCAGTCACGGGTATAATAAGAGAAGGTCCATTTACTCTCATATATTACCTACAGGAACCTATTAATTAGCCATGGATAGCCAGAAGCAGAATGAAGAGTGGTATAGTGAAAACTATGGCCTTGAGGGAACTGTGTATAATACTTTAGCCACCAGCGTCATATCATAAACATGTTCTGTAGTGAGATGGGTATTTGTGTACCCACAAATCTTCATTAAAAGAACATCCCTGAGGTTGCAAACAATCCTCAAATGTTAGGAAATAATAGGAATAAGGTTGTTTGAACAGCCTTGACATCATCCTAAGCATATGTATTATGATTTGGTCTATAATCAACTGTTTTTTTTCCCCACGGGGTTACTGCCTCATTCTTTGTACAGGATGTGCTGTGCTTACTTAATAAGCCATCTTTTTTTATTTTCTCCTCACTGTTCAGTGTGTACCATCATAATTTTATGACTGTTAGTTATTCAGACCTAGTTCTGAAGGCAGAATGTTTAATTTATTCGGTTTTTTGTGCACCATATTTCTGTATTTCCTAAATGATGAACACACCCTACATGACACCCTGGTCAGGTGAGGGCACAGTAGTATTTCCATTTTATTTGGAAACTAAGGCACAAAGGGATTATAGCTAAGTGTCAATTAAGTTTGCATGCTTTGTTTGACAAATGTAGAACCTGATTTTTAGTGTATATTACATGTTCTGTGGTCAATTATATACATTAAGGGTGCTGGGACTCAGTCTTCTCTGCCAACAAAACCTTGACTTATCCCCAAAATAGCTCCATCCTATGCATACATGCAGGATTTTTATGGCTAGATTTAGTGTGTGGTCATATAATTTAATACATTAATATATCTGCACATGGGGCTAAATTTATATATACAGACAACCTGAATTTGTAATCTCAGTATTTCTTTAAGGTATCATTGAGTTTTTAAAAAGCAAGCTGAAAATATTTCATGTACTCTCAGCTTGGCACATCCTAATAATTTATTAAGAAGGCAGGAGCCTCAAGATGTTACTAGTTCATGGGGTTCTAGTTGTTGTAAGTAGTTGTTACCGTCCATGTGGACTAGCATTAGATCTGTGGGACAAAGTGCCTCATCCCTCAGCCAATGCTGAGGTGGGGTGTTGAGGACAGAAGGACATGGCTTCTTTGCTTTTACTCCCGTATCCTGGACCCAGTATTGTGATGCAGCAGGGAACTTTATATATGCAGAACATTTGGTTCAGCCCCAGCCTAGAGTTTGGTGTGGATAGAGTTTTTGGGGAATTAGGTAAGGTCTAGCAAATCTCCAAGCCATGTGCTAACTGAATTTTTTTTAGGCTTGTACATTAGACATATTTACCCAGACTTTCACAGGGTTGACATAGGCCCTGACATGCTGGCCAAATTTGTAGTTCCTGCTCCAGAGGTGTAGCTGTGCTCAAGCAGTCTCACTGTTGGAAACAGGTGAACTATTTAATCTAATGTTGAATGGAAAAACCCCGAAAAGTGAGGAATATGTACCATATGTCAGATTTCTACCAGATTGAAAGTTGGAAAACTTTAAATAATTGTGAAATGAGAATTATAAATAATTGTCATTGTTAAGCTCCCTTAGTATCGATACTGCCACCAACCTCACCCAGCATAACCATCATTTTCTTCTGTAATCTTATATCTACATTTGCAACCTGAAATGTCTTTTATATTTTTTAATAAGTGTGGTATATATCACTTGTGGTGGTGAGATCCATGTGCTAAAACGGCATTTATTATTTAACCTGGACTGACTTGTTAATCAGTTTTAACAGAACATTTCAAATAACTGAGCACTTGCAAACTCTTTTTACAGCAGTGTACCAGAGATGTTTCCTTCCCATTTCTGTTTTGGAAACTACTGTGGTGCAGGGCATAGGCAATATTGAGTTCTGCAGTAGGAATGCGTTTATTGTCTGATATGTCATGACATACCAAGGTCAACAATGTATATTTTTTGTTGAAATGGTTAGAAGACCAAATATTCTTTAAAAGGTGTTGCAGCATGCTAATGCATTAATAAATGTCAGTGTGTCACTGCTATATGATTCTCTTGTATTCTTCATTCAAGAAATTGTGGATGTTAATAAGACTCTATAAAACTACATGTAACTTTGTGTTTCCTGTGATAGAAAACCTTGTTGGCACCCATGATGCTCCTATCAGATGTGTCGAATATTGTCCAGAGGTGAATGTAATGGTGACTGGAAGTTGGGATCAGACAGTTAAATTGTGGGATCCCAGGACTCCTTGTAATGCAGGAACCTTCTCTCAACCCGAGAAGGTTTGTACTCACGTAATATTACAGTATTACATATAAAGTTATGTTACGTATCCAGTGACTGTTAAGTGGCAGCACCTTTCTTGTGTGTAAATTCTGTCATGACCCATGAGATTGTAAAGTATTTAGTGATTTTTACTTTCATGTTAACCCTACAATAAAAGTGTTTTGCAGACGGTATTAATCCTTAGCTGGAAATTTTAGGTTGTGCAAAGACTCTAGTTCTCATCATTAGGAAAAACAAAACTTGGTTCTGAAATTTTTTTTTATATTCTCTTTTTGTAAACCTTTTACAGGTTCTAACACAGATTGAAGAAAAGTTTGTGTGTGTAAAAGTGAGATGCTAGTAACAGTGGTTTGAGTGAGATGGATGAGTTAAGCTAGCTTCCTCAGATGATTTTGCCAATCTACCTTAATTGGTAATCCACCTAAAGCACAACTACTGTTCAGATTCTGGGACTGCAGAGAATAAAGCCCAAATCTCCTGCTTCAAGCTGTGTGCGTAAAAGACCAAACTAAATCATTTACACGATAAATTGAATTTTAGGAGGTATTATACCACAGTACCTAGGCACAGTCCTTTTCCTGTTACTGAGCAGTTATGTGCTACTGACAGATCTTTAAAAGGAAAAGGATAAATTAACTGTGACATTGTATGCTTCTTTTCATAGTTGCATAAAATACTGATCTTTTCACTGTTAGTGGACATGTAGAAAGGCTATTTTCATTAGTCCTTCGTTCTGTCTTCCTAAATGGATGTTGGATAAATATGAATATTTTCAGTTTGCCACTCCAGGGTTTCATTCATTTCTGTCTATACATATTGTCCAATCAGAGTTATGAGCCATCAGAATGTTCCATATTGCATCTAAATAGCTATTATTTTTGTCACAACATAGCTGAATCTACTTCTGGCAAGTCCTTTGTTCAGAATAAAATAATTGCATTGTTTCTAGTTTTGATTTATAGTTGTATGTAGCATGTAAAGAACTGTGATAAATTGCTGACATATAATGGACAACCACACTGAATCAAGCTGCTTATTGGTTCAGAAAGGCTCATTATGTCACTTTTTTAATACTGTCTTTGATAAATGCATACACCTAGTCAACTGCATGACAGTGGTTTCATTTGATTTATGGTTGTCTGGTGTAGAAAGAATACTTACCATACAGGTGTGACATCAGTTTGTAAAGAAGATTTAGGATATTTTAACAGCTTTTTTGTGGTTGTTCATATGTGTATGTGAAAATTTATACTGTTTGAGTGTAATTTCTGTTTAGATTTTCCTCACACTTTATATAGCAGTTAAAAATAATCATTTTAAGTGTATAGTTCCTTTTGATAAATGATACCAGGCTGCATTGATAGTATCACTTCTTATGAAGGTAAGAAAGAATGAAAGCATTCTTTCATGGCTTCTATTGCTGAGTGGACAAGTTTAGACAGAAATGAATGCAAGAATCTTACTTGCCGCCTTATGAAGCTCTCAATTCCACTGAGTTTTTGTGAGTCAACTTATTAAAAAAAGAGGAAAAAAATCAGATACTCAAGAATATGTTAATATTTTTCAAGATGGCAAAGTAAATGACAAGGCTCAAAGATGAAGGCAGCACAGTATGTAAGAGAACACTGTCCAGTAGTTTGTCCTAAGGTTTTTATGTTAATGTTCTTCACAAAAGCAAACTTGCTTGTAAATTTATTAAGTGAAAAGAGTTTGTTTTATTTATTTCCTTACAATGCCAATCAAACCACAGGATCATGGGGAATGTGAGAGAACAAAAACAAATGGGCTGCCTCCATTTTGTTGTAAGCAGAGACATCAAAAATTGAATAGCATTAAGCTTTGCAAAGAATTGCATGTTTAATTATTTTTCATTTTAATAGCAAGATGCTCACAACATGCAGTTTTGATTTAACATTAGGTTGCTTTTTATGAGAGAGTTAAGTGGGGAACTGTCAGCTACCCTACAGAACTGCCTGTGTATGTGCTCTTGTCCTGTGGAAAATAAAAATTAACCAATAGCAGTTTAGTCCTCGATGCAACAGAAGTATGAGTTAACTTTCATTTTTCCTCAGAATACCTGTGTACACAGGCAGTTTCTATGGAGCAGCTGCTGTTCTGTAAAGTCCCACCCTCCTTTGCCTCTTGTTAACTTTGTGTGTCCAGGCCTTCATAACTACTTCATATTATGGTGTTAGAACATGTTTAAGGTGTGAATTGAAATGCAGTGTTTAAGATGAGGCAGCCCACAAAAGCTTGAGATGGACGTCTACTCCGGCTAGTCTAATGTGCAAATGTATCCTGCCATACAACCTTAAACCACATACTGCCAGATCAAAAATGCTTCTACTGCAGTCACTAATATTAAAGTTGCACACTGAATAAAAAGGGGGAAAATCAATAGCTGTATTTAATTAGAGGTCATCTGCTTTTTCATTACAGAGTGTTGTTAGTTCATTCTTCATGTCAGAATAAAATAAGAATTAGCAGCCCATTAGAGTGGCTTTTGATAATGTTTTTGTAAACTTTTTTAAAAGGTGTATACGCTCTCTGTGTCTGGAGATAGATTAATTGTGGGGACTGCAGGTCGGAGAGTCTTGGTCTGGGATCTACGGAATATGGGTTATGTCCAGCAGAGAAGAGAGTCAAGTTTGAAGTATCAGACCCGTTGCATCAGAGCATTTCCAAACAAACAGGTATGGTTGCTGTGCAGTAACTCTTTACTAAGACGTTTCTAGTAAAGACAGTTGAATCTTTTGTAGGGAAAAATAATTTGTGGTGTGACTTGTCACTTCTGCTACCTTGTTGAAAAAATTTACACTAGTTTAAAAAGTATGTTTAAACTTTAAGAAGTCATAGCTCAGTCCTTTTTAAAAATAAATGAACAATGTTGAGACTTCCTGTTTCAGGTGGTCATTTTAAATTACAGTGGCCTTTGCAAAAGGCTTTCAGTTAGTTTTCTTTTGCTTTCTCAGTCTTCATCTGTTTCTTTTCTGCTCTTAATCTTGTTTTAAAAGATGCTGGTCGATGCATCACAGAACTGACAAATGGAGGAAGAGAGGGAAAAGATAACTTGCTATTGGTAGTTAACTTTTATGGATATAAACTACAAATTCCTCAGACTTTGCCTTCTGCAACATGTAGCCTAAGCTGTAGGAAAATATATGGAGTAGCATGCAAAATATTGGTGCAGCTTTTAACTAAAAACTGTTGTAGGCTTCTTTCACACTACAGCCTTACTGAGTTCTTGCTTGGCTGGTCTTATGCCTCAGTTATGTTGTTTTGGTTACAGGGGATTGTATAAGAATAAGGTTACCTTTCTTTCCATTATTCATTCCTCACATTATAGTTTAGTGCTTCTGTTGCTTTGCCTTATTCTGGAGTGGGAAGTTAGTAACACTTGGGAATGGACTGTTCCAGGGCTCAGTAGTGAGAGCTTGGATACTTCATGCAGTGAGAGATGTTGTTTCTGGTGTTAGAATGAGTAAATAGTATGATGTTTTTCATCTAAAACTAGAGTTAGTGTTAGGTTGGTACTTCATATTGTCCTGCAATCTGGATTTGATGTAGGTAAGCATTGGTATCATTTTATTTCTGAGAAGTGTAAGCATTACACTCATGGCAGAGAGATGGTAAAAGTAGATTGCTATGTGTTAGTGCTGTGAATTAAGTAGAGGCAGACACTTACGTAATGGAAAATATTCTGATCTGATTTGAGTATTTAGTCGTCCATACTTTATCCTGAGCTAATTTTAATAGAAGGCTAAAAATGTTGCCTATTGACACCTGAGGTGTCTCAATAGTTGAGATCAGTAGGGTGTAAGGATTGTGACCAGACATGGGGGATTTAATTTGTTTTCTGCAATTTGTATGATGTTGGCAGTGTTTCTGGATCTGCAAGTGTATCACAGGTCTTGCCAAACTTTTACTTAGTTTCGTTGAACTTTCAGGCAAGCTTCCCCTCCATGTACTTTTTGTTACTGAATCATGTGCGTGTGACATGGGTTGTGCAACTAGAAAGCATTTGTAGCTATTACAAGTAAACATTCTTAAGTTTTCCTGTAAGGTGTTTCTTGTGCAGCTGGCTTTAGAAAAGGTATTCAGCTAATCATAGTTGCAGCATTTGAATGTCTAACAGGTACATTTTCTTTTCTTTTTTTTGCATAGGGTTATGTTTTAAGCTCTATTGAAGGTCGTGTTGCAGTAGAGTACTTGGATCCAAGTCCAGAAATACAGAAGAAGAAATATGCATTCAAGTGTCATAGATTGAAGGAGAATAATATTGAGCAGATTTATCCAGTTAATGCTATTTCTTTCCACAACATCCACAACACGTTTGCTACAGGTAAGTAAATATTTAAAATTGTATAGATGTATTTCTTTAACAGGTACTTGCAGACTCCACTGCATTACAAAGCTGCTTTTTGTTATGGTCTGTCCAGCTGATGACAAAACACTATAACAAATTTTATTTCACTTTCTTGTTTTCACTAGGATTAGTTGCAGTAAATGCTGAAACAGTTGTTATTTGTTCACTTATGACAGCCTAACATCTTAAGATCTTTATTTATTTTTTTTTTGAAAATCAATTTTGCAGGTGGTTCTGATGGATTTGTAAACATTTGGGATCCATTTAATAAAAAGCGACTATGTCAATTCCATCGGTATCCCACAAGCATAGCATCACTCGCCTTCAGTAATGATGGAACCACCCTTGCAATAGCTTCGTCATACATGTATGAAATGGATGACATTGAACATCCTGAAGATGGTATCTTCATTCGCCAAGTGACAGATGCAGAAACAAAACCCAAGTGAGTATGCTTCACTTGTATTTGAGCCTTTCTGAACATTCATCCCAGAATTTATTAATTTTCCTAAATTCATGAATAGCATTATTGATAGCTAGTAGATAGTGCAGCTTGACAGTAGGGTTGGACTTGATTTTATCTTGTTCTCCCAAGCTTTCAATATCCGTAGGTTGATAGACGTGTGATGGATAAAATTGTGCCTAGTTGTTTAGTAGGAGAATGTCAAACTCTTATTCTCTTTGAATAGTCACTGTTATTCTAGGCTGTGGAGTTATTGTTAGCTCGTTGCTTCAAAATTAAGTTGAAGAATTCAAGCATTATTCATTTGAGCAAGTTTTATTCTATTGGATCTGTAAGAGTTAGAACTAGGTAAAATTTGTATATGCAGATTAGAGACCTAACTTTTCCACCGTGGAAAAGCATTGAACTGATTCTAGGGAGACTGCATCAAAATCATGTAAGCATTCCCACTGTCTGAATTTTGGAGAATTATCTTTTTATTTGGAGTGTGCTTTTTACCCTTTGACACCAGACTTTGTGCCACCACTACTGGTAAAGGGAACATCCTTTATTGTTAGATAGAGAAAGCCTCTACTAATGCTCAGGCTAAAGAAAGCTAAATGGTAAATCTGGCATGGTATAGAATTGCACATTGATATAACCTCTGTTATTTGCATCAACTTAGCAGTAGGTTAAACAGAATTGTTCTGTTGTTTTTTAAAGGTTCTTATGCATTTAATCAAACTGCCCAGTAGTTTAACTATTTGGTTATGGGATTTATTACTTTATCTACTGTATAATACCAATTACCTGCTGTAATACTACTTACCTTTACCAAAAAAAAATTGTAGTTTGTTTTAAATGAGAAGTTGCATCTCACTTTTTAAGTTGTACTCCAATATCATTTTGTTTTTTAAGGCACCTCTCTATAGTGTCAATCTGCTTGTTTTGAATCATTTATTATTTTGTGGTTATATTGAGAGTAATATTGGTAAAATACAAAATAGTGTAACTGCTTGTGGACTTACACTTTTAAAGTGATCTATTCTCTTTTTTGGGCATTATGTAAAAAGAAAGTGACAAAATATTACCCAGAAATTATATCCATATTGTAATTACATTTTTTGTATGAGTAACTGTAAGTTAATACTTACTGTTACTGGGCTTACAGTGTTAGGGCCTATTTTCAATTATTTCTATCCATTGTTGGTTATAGTTGCTAGTTCTGTAGATGCCTTGTTCTGCTGTATGAGGAGGTTAATCTACAATTAAACAATATTTCCTCTTGGCCCTCCATTATTTTCTGAAACAGATGGTTCATCATTTCCTGGGCTGTTAAATACAGCGAGGTTAAGGTTAGACTCTTGGGAATCAGCTAGTTTTGAATCTTATTAGACTGTAGAAGGAAAACTAATAAGAATACTCCTTAATATCATTTTGTGACTGTAAACAATTATTTATTAGCAAACAATTGATCCCAGAAGGGCAAATTGTTTGAGTCAGTAATGAGCTGAGAAAAGACAGAGCATATCTGTGTATTTGGAAAATAATTGTAACGTAATTGCAATGCATTTAGACAGGCATCTTTTTGGACCTGTTTCTATCTTTAAATGAATTTCTGAAAACATTAACAAGGTTTATATGCTTTTCTGACATTTATAAGTTGCTTGTGCCAGCCTTAGGACACCAGTCTTATGGTGAATAAGAGTGGGGGTTTGTTGGGGGGAATATGCTGTGTAGTCATAGCAAGGTACCTTCAAATAGCATGCTTTTTCTTTGCTTTCTGCCTAATATCTAGTTAATAGTGCTTTTTTATGGTGTGGCTCTTTTTTAGGTTAGTTTGAACTATCTTGCGTTTGTATATCCTGTCTTTTAAACTTGTGGTTGGAACAATGCCTTTTTAATAATATGGGCATTTGGAAGGGTTTTGATTTGCTGACAACCAAATTACTACATCAAATGCTTTTGGAAGAAGCAAAAGTTTTCTGTTCTGTGCAGTTCAGAGTTGATAGTTTTTTTATTTGTTTTTTTTTCCAAAAATTTCCATTGAAGTTTTTTTAATGAATTTATAAAAAGTCTGAAACCTACTTGTTGAAACATTACTTTCTTTATTTCAGGTCTACTTAAAAATCTGGCAGGAAGCTTCAGCTCTTCTTTATGAAAGGCTTGTTTACCTGCTCCTAACAAGACTAGCCTGTAATGGTGATTAAAAGATAGAAGTGGAAAGAACATTTTTTTTTTATTGATTTTCCTTTTAACTAAGAAACTTGTGTATTTCTGTACCTTTTGTATACTTCACTCTAGCGTTATTTCTTTTTTTTTTTATTTAGAGCATCAGTGCATCCATGTTTTGTTTAATTGCAGTCTTAAAAGTAAAATGAGTCTTTCCTGTAAGCAAACTGTTTTAAAACCACTTACTGCATTTTTGTTCTGGAAGCTTCCGGTAGTTTCAGAACTGCTCAATAAATCACTTTGAAAACCTTAACTGCATGTGTGTCGTACTGTATGAAATGAGTCTCTAAGACTGGTCCTTAGCTTGAATGTTTGGAGCTCGTGGGTTCTTGATATGGCTCATGGCAAGTCACTGACTCAGCCATCTTTTTTTTTTTCTAGCCCAATACATGGGAACACACCTCATCAGGGGTGTTAACCTAGTCCAGTGATTCTCAGCCAGGGTGCCATAGCACCCCAGGGTGCTGTTAGATTCTTTGAAGAGTGCCCAGAAGTGTGAAGAGATAAGCCAGGTATGTGTGAGCAGATAAGCACAGGCTTAGGCTTGCTCTGCCTTCTGCGCCCCAAACCCCTCTACAGGGAGGTGTAAGCACTGTAATAAATTCAGTTATTTGAAATGGGGTGCCAGTCGATTCACAACACTTATGGAGGGGGTTGTTGAGTCTAAAAAGGTTGAGAACCACTGACTTAGTATTCATATACTGTTTTGAAAGCATAAAGCATTTAAAGCGGAGGTGTCAAACACATCTGTAACCCTGGGCCAGATCCAGACAACAGGGCTTCTCATGGGCCGGAGCCAGGTTGCGTGCGACTCCTAGGCTGGATCCAGATCTCAGCAAGTGACAGTGGCAGGGGTTAATGCAGCTCTCATTTGCCCCGTCAGCCTGCTGCTGGCATGCATGCCCAGTGCCCTGGATTTTGGCAGCGGATCCCACCCCAAATCAGTGGCCCCTCTGAGTGTCCCATGAGCCTAGTGAAATGGCTTAGCTGTCTGTATGCTTGACACTCCTGATTTAAGACATGTCTAGGCAGTATTGATGTCTCAAACCATTGAGGAATCATTGATCATTTGCAAGGGGAAGGTAGGGCTCTATGTAACACTTGAAATTCAAGCTGTTAGTTATTTCACTTGCATCATGCCTGTAGAGAATCTTGAGATCAATCATGATTTGGAAGAATTGAGAACAGAGCAGTACAAATTAGAAGGTCTGATACTTTGACTGTGATATAAGGTGGCATGTGTTTGGTCTTAGTTTGAGCAGCCAGCCAACACAGAGCAACATCGAGGTAATGATGGAAGAAGAAACTTATGAGAGTAGGGGACTCCCTTTTGCCAAAGAAAATTGTACACCTCTCAGGAGAAGGTAGGGTCCAATCCCTCCTAACTTCAGACTTGTTTTGCTGCCACTTCTCATTCAGTAATGTAATCTGCAATCTGACTTCTTGCTTCAGCTGCTAAACCAAACAAATGTTTCCTGTAGAAACATGTATTGTGAAAATACATTTTCTGTCTGACAAGCAGCTTTGTAAAAAAAAAAAAAAAAATAGCAGCATGGATTTGAATATTCGTTTTTTCTCATCAAATCTATTTTCAGGTTTAAAAAAATGTTTCAAGTTGCATCTGAGGCTAGCTTGTCATTGTCAGTTAAATGTCTGCTGTTAATCACCTGTTTAAGTCCAGGAAAACAACACTGATTGTTGAAACAATGTAGTTTGCTGTGGTGGGATAACCAGCAGTGGCTCCAGAAGTGCATGAAGGGGCAGGCTATCATGCACTGGGATGAGGAGCTTGCACTGATGGCAGTGAAATGAAAAAGCCCATACTGATACAGAACTGAATAGTCCATTGCAGTTTAGAAGCTGGTAACTCCCAATTGCTACAGGTCTGTGGCTAATCAGTTCCTTATTAAAGACACAACTGGTAGGAGTGATTGTTGTGTGGTGTCATTTTGAGGTTTCTTTATCCACATATTGGTGGCATAATGAACATAGCTGAAATTATAGCTGGCTTTCAGACGATGAGTTTTTCTTGTAGGGCTATTGGGTATGCATGTATTGTCATATTTCGTTATTTACAGTGAGCCGACTAACCACATGGATACTACTCCCTTGTTTTGCAGAGTTTAGATGACAGGGAAAGGTTTATGCATATGGACATTGGCCAAACAAACCAGATTGAATGATGCCAGAGTTTCAAGATGATGAGGAAGTTGCATGAATGGCCAAGCTACAACCGTATTCCCCCTCCACTACAATGACATGGTAATCAGGGGGACATATATTCCTCCCAGTATTATGAGGAGCCTCACCAGATTTGATCTCTGTACCCAGACATTTTTGGGCTGTACGGAACCTTTAATTTAGACTCTGAGCATTGAGTGTGCATTTGGAAGGGGAGGTGGCCCTACCTGCAAACTATCTGGATGCCAGCATTCACTGTTTTGTGCACACTGTCTCCTGCTATGCCCTGCACAATGCATGTGAAGTCAGAGGTGAGCCATTCTATAATGACAGGGCCCATGACCTCTGGACTACCAAATATGTATCTAGAAGGCACCCTAATGAATGGTTCATGCCCCGGCTTAGTGGAAACCAGGGAAATTAAAGATGCCACATTTACAGATGTTTTTGGAGCATGTCCTTGCATGAGGATGTAATAGGCAACGTGTTTTGTAATTTTCACTGAGATAAGTCCAGCTAAGTGTTCTAGTATTTTCATGCTATTGCAAAACCCCACCCTCTTGTCCATTTCTTACTTTAGAATTTGAAAGTTGAACCATTCAATCTTGTCAATTGTTTCTTAAAGATGATCCCCTTTAGCTTTGAAGTCCTTGGAAAATACCTCAATTGGTACAGGAGATCTTTGGCCCTTCCCCAATATCTGGGTCACAGGAGGAGGGAAGGAATGATCTGGTACTCATTTTGTCTTTTGCGAAACTATAAATACCTTGTCCCTGAACTGCTTCTGAATTTTCAATTCTGGTTACGAAGGCCCCTTTGAATTAAACTTGATGTTATGGGATGTGATCCAAGGTGAGTGTTGCTGTGGCAAGATAATGTACCCTTTTTCCTTCCCTAAGCAGCAGAAGGGGGAAGGGTCTCCCAGTGATGGGAGGGTTTGTGCTTCCTGTGATGGCTTTCCTTTCCCTCAAAGTATTTGACCTGTGGTGTCCATTTAATAGCTTTAAGTAGGGCACTGTTACAGGCCACCTGGTTTGAAGGGTTTTGGGGGTGAGACCACCTAACCATTGCATGATGCATTACTTGGCTGAAAGAGGTATTATACAACCATGAAAACAGGCAACGATTAATTTGCAGAAAAGATAAACTGACTGGATGAAGAAAAAAAATAACAAGTTGGAGGTATGTGTATCTGTTGATGGGGCTAGATGGTAACCATATACAGGGAATATAAAGGTTAAAGTGATTCCTTGAAGAAAGGTGGAGCAGGGCACTATAAAAGGAAGGGTGTGAGATTTAATGTGGATAAACTTCAGAGCAGCAGGGAAATGAAAGAACAGGGTTGGTGGTAGGATGCTGGTTGCAGGGAGTTGGGGTCAGGCAGCATTAGTGGTGGTAATACCGGCTTCTCTGCTCTGCTTCCTGCTGCCCTTTCTCCCATGGCCCCTTTTAAGCAAAAGGTTTTGAACAGCTTGGGTTAGAATTGAGGGATTTGCTTCCACTTCTGGTGGTGCCTGTGTTGGGAATGAAAGGCAGTGAAGGCCCAGAAGAAAGGCCATTCATTTCCTGGGTAAATGACTTGAGTGAATGACTTGTGCATTCCCAGGCCTGCGGTTGTATGCCTCAGGCTATGCAGTCTTCTTGTAAGGAATGAAGATGCACTAGAACCCACTTCTAGTGTTCACATTGGAGATTTACGCAGTCTCAGGGTCTGCTGTAGTTGTATCCCTTTGGGGAGTACAGCAACAAACAAGTCCTGGAGGGCTTGCTGGTGGTTCTCCCACATCACTGTTTCCTGTTCCCAGAAGAGGGGTGCCCACTCCTGGTCCTCCAGAGCTCGTCTCTTTCCATCATCTGGTGCTGCAGTTCCTCCATAAGGAGAGACATAATTCCTCTTCCTGCCAGCATGTCAGGACAGTACAGTTTTGTTGCTGCTGGTTGTGAATGATCCTAGAGGTGAGCAAGTAATACCAAGGAGTTTGCCCACAGCATTTAACACAGCCCTGCAGACGCATGCAAGCAATCCCTGCCAATGCCTTTTGGATGGTATCAGAAGCACCAGAAATCAGGTTTCAGCAGTGATGAAATAAAGCTTACCTTTCCCCAAAACACAGGGCACCTGTTTTTCCTCTTTGTACCAAAGCAAGAATGGCAAAGACCATCCTTCCAACAAGGCCTGTGATATACTAGCATTACAAAAATTTGTGATAAGCCACTACTCAAGGGCATATGCTTTGGGATGGTGTGCGTCAATGACCAGTTTGCCTTCTAGCTGGGCTTCATCCAGGACTGTTGTCCCACAGGATTGGGCCCCAGTCCCAGGAACAGCTGCCTGCACTCCCGTGGCGTAAATGATCAGACATCTGCCACAGAAGGCAACACAGGCTATTAATAGGAATCATTACACTTATAGTTTGGGGCATTTATGGTGCAACAAGAGGCAAGGATGTCTATTTGCTCAGGATATGTGCTGCCGTCAATGTTTTATAATGGCACAATCGTGGTGTGTGCAGCTACAGAAAGACATATCAGCCATGTGATCTCACTATTTCTGACCACCATGTGGTTATATACATGACTGTTCTCTGTCAACCAAACTCAGATATCTACTCTGTTTCTCTATTTCTTCTCAGCATTAGAGAGTGGAATAAAGGAGAGTAGGATAGATAGGTTTCCACATTAAAAACCTATTAGGCCATGTATCCACAGAAAAGGTAAAATTGGCCCTAGCATGAAGAACTAAAGGAGACAGTTAAAAGGGAGGTGAACAGGAACATTAATTAGAATGAGAGGGCAGGGTAGATTGAGAAAAGGCATGAGTGGAGGTGTAAAGAAAGGGAAAGGTGCGTGGGAGGGGGAAGTATCCATCAGGAAAAGGAATGGAGAAGAAACAAGGGAAGGCAAAAGAATAGGGAGATGTAGTGCAAAACATATGAATAGGTGAAGAAAGAGAAATGAAATAAGAGCTGGGGAGAGGGGGTGGGGGGGGAATGGGAGGCAGATGAGAAAATATGAGAGGAATTTAAGTGACTTGTTTATGAATTGAAATTTTGTAATGGTATTTTGTGGTTG